CCTCCTCTTTTTCCTCCCCTCTCTGACTCACAGAGTTACAGCAACAACAGTTATAATATCACTTAAAATTTGGGTGTGTGATTGAGTAAATAGGTAAGTAATGTAATAAGAATGTTCTAATCCAATTCGGAATTCCTATGAGCCTGCAATCGTGCACTCAAATCGGGCAAATAACGAATTTTGGTGGCGAAACTTTGATTATTTGCGATGAAGTAGGCTGCGTTTGCATGAAGCCACCGAACTGGAGCTTCCTTCAGTCGATTATCAATAAGTTCCGGTAAGTTCTGATTTTTGCCTTTGTTTGATGGATGCTTCACTGGAACGTCCGTTCGAACCTGTAACAATCACATCGGAATTTTGATTTTTTATGCACTTTTTCAAGTCCAGTTCGTCGGCCGATTTACCTCAGCGATATACTGGACTCTTCCCGGATAATCGTCATATCTTTCGCAAGTGTGCTTCACCAGGCCATTGTAAGCGGTCTGGCCGTTTCTCAGCAAATTCCAGTGTTTCGTCTCATTCTGATAATAACATCCTACAAAATGCATATTTATCAATATTTAACCCAATAATCAAATTTTTTGCTTACTTTTTTGCTTTATATATATAATGTACATATATATATATATACATATATATACATACATATATATATATATAAATTACATTCAAAGGAAAGGAAAAGTGTCGTTGAATTTAAAGAAAAATCGAGAAAAAGAGAGAACATGTGGAAATTTTGAAAAAAATCTGATCTACCGCTAACAAATCTTTAAAAAATATGTGACAATAGATGTATTTCGAATACATGTGTTATTCTGTTTCCAATCGTAATCGGTGTAGCGAGATATTAAGACTGTTTTCATTTCTGCGATCTTTTCGCATTTTTTATATTTTTATTTGTTTATATTTATGTTTTATTTATATTACTCCACCATCCTTTATTTACATCGCTTTTACGTTATTGTTTTATGTGACGGCATCATTAATTATTATTTTATACATTTTTCAACATTAATAAAATATCATTTATGTTAGAATTCGTACAACTTATGATATTGTTTCATTATTTTAGTTAATCTTTACTCACGTTTTATTTTTACCGATGTATATAATATTTCAAAAGTATATCACTGCATTTGGTATTAAAATCTTTAGCCGTCAGGCAGCTTGTATGTAACTGGGTGACCAAAACATGTAAATTTAATTTCTTTTTATGCGTTTTTGCCTATATGCAAATTGCAAAAACGCATATTGGGACGACCCTGTCTG